TATTCTCATGTCATGAGAGAAAGTAAACAGATTAGGAGTATCTCCATTTCCCAGAAGAGATAGAATATGTGCTTTGTTTTCATTCAGTCTTTTTTTCTAGGCCTCTGTTCATTCTTATTGTCAACTTCTGAAAATGCTGTAACTTCACGGCAGCGTGTCTGGGTAGATGTGGAATGGTAATCCTGTTCAGGTGGATCTGTTTGTCAGCTTCTTCAGTAGCATTTTTTTCTACCCTTCTCTGTTCACTTACAAAATACGCTTGTTTTCTTGGTGGTTATGAGCTGACCTGTGACCCACGCAGTGTTTTCCAGCTGTATTTAATGTTACATCCCGGTGCTCTGGAGGGAATGCTTGAATAACACGCTGTAGTGTGTGTGGGTAGGTATGTGATAGATGGGTATCTGTGATAGATACATTACCCTGGCATTTAGCTCAGACTGTCTTCTCCTTGTAGTGCCCTTTCACATCACCCTGCCTTGTCTTTCCTGTAGTTTTTCATGTTCCTGTGCTCTCGCTTAATGTTAATTTGCAAAGGATCAAAAGTTAGCTACTTCACTGCTTGGTGCCTCCTTTCTGAATAGTAACCACAAGCCTGAAGCTTCCCGGTGCTTATTTGTCAGGTTGAAGGCTGGTCAAGGCCATCCCTGTTTACTGGTGCTTCACTGAAAAACATCTGTAAAGGCTGTCATGAATTATAAAGGGAACGTTCAGTGTGGTAGCTGGTGAGCAGGTGGCTGATTTATGAAACCACCTTGTGTAATCTGGCGTAGCATCATCTTTATCTTTGATTATTTCAGTCAAGTTCTAGGGTACAGAAGTACAGCTCATTGTCACCTAATTCCCTCTATCAGCTCTGTAGGCTTCCTTAAAATACTGATAAAGTATTTTCTTAATTTCTTTTAATTTCTTTAATTTTTAAGTACTCTTTTTGTAGAGATTCAGAAAGTGATCTGGATTCTGTTACATCTGTCTGTAATACTAGAACAACAGCCGTTCTGCAGCAGAGTAGGTAGAGGGGCACTCGAGTAACCAAGCTGGGATGTTCTAGTAAGAAGTTTGCAAGATGCTCCCTTGAGGAGTGTTGTAAGGGGTACAGCACGCTGGCTGCTCGTGGTGGATGGCACCTCTGTGTGGGTAACACTTGGCTTTTCATTGTTTCCCATCTGTTCCAGCACAGAGGCAGGATTTTGTACAGGACCTGCGTGAGGATGGGGTATGAATGGGGGCTGCTTTAATCAGCAGTGTAGGTGGTGTGAGAGGCAGTCACCAGGACGCTGAGGAATGTGTACTTCTTGGGCATGTCGTGTACTGATCTGTTTTGTAGGAGACCAGCCTAAGGGTCTCGTAGGACCTGGAGTTAATCGTTGGTGATGCTCTGAGTATGATGGTCTTCTGTCATTTAAACAGTACTAAGTGAAATAATTCAACTCTTTGTGGTGCTGTTTCTCAGGAAACTTCAGAAGGTGCAAGCTGTATGCAGTGCTGTTGGTTAACTGAATAGCATCGATAGCATAGAAAACCTCAGCAGTCATGGTCATTGGATTGCCATATGCACACTTGCTCTTGGAGGGCTGTGCTAATCGCTAGTGCTCCTGGGGGCTGGGATGAAACTCTCTGAAGGGATTTTTTTCTTTATGCTTTCTACTGACATACATAGACTCAGGGCAGGCCTCAAGCTGGGTTAGTTTTTTTTGTTTGTTTGTTTGTTTTTTAAATAGAACGAAGTAGAACTGCAACTCTGAAATTGTTCCACTCCCTGCTCTGCAAGGGTCTTCTGAACACAGGAGCAAAAATCTCTTTCTTGGCTCTCAAGAGAAAGGAAGTGGCTTCTCTAATGTAAGAGAGCTGTTGAGAGCTTGTATGTCCAGATATGTGATTGTGGTTATGTTTAGTGGCATCTTTTCATGAAATATTTATATTTCTTTTCTGAAAAAAACTTTTCAGTTTTAATGAAAAAAGAAATATAAGCCTGGGACAGGTGACTCACCAAGTTAAAGAGCAGTATGATGTGGCATTCCTGAGATCTCATAAATATTTTCTAATGAATAGTCTCAGAAGATACATGGGGGTGAAAAATGCAATAGTGTTGGGCCATGTAGATTTTTTAGACACTTATAAAAGCGAATATCTGCTGTTGCTGTTTCACCCAGTAGCACAAGCTGTGTCTGTCTTCTCACTGCTCTCTGGAGCTGTTTGTTTTCATAGAATCACAGGATGATTTGGGTTGGAAGGGACTGCGAAGATCATCTAATTCCACCCACCCTGCCATGGGCAGGGCCCCCTGCCCCCAGCCCCATCCAGCCTGGCCTTGGGCACTGCCAGGGATGGGGCAGCCACAGCTCCTCTGGGGAGCCTGGGCCAGGGCCTCACCGCTCTCTGAGTGAAGGATTTCTTCCTTATATCTCATCTAAACTTACCCTCTCTTAGTTTAAAGCCATTACTCCTTGTCCTATCACCACACCCTCTGACAACGAGTGCCTCCCCAGCTTTCCTGTAGCTGCTGCTGGGCACAGGGCAGGCTGCTGGGAGGTCTGCCGGGGCCTTCTCTTCTCCAGGCCGAACAGCCCCTCAGCCTGTCTCCATAGCAGAGGTGCTCCAGCCCCTTGTTCATCTCTGTGGTCCTCCTCTGGACTCACTCTCGTACATCCCTGTCCTTCTGCTGGGGACCCAGAGCTGAGCGCAGGCTCCAGGTGGGGTCTCACAAGAGCAGAGCAGAGGGGCACAATCCCCTCCCTCGCCCTACTGGCCATGGTGATTTTGGTGCAGCCCAGGAGAGGGCTGGCTTTCTGGGCTGCAAGCGCACGTTGCTGGTTTGTGTTCAGGTTTTTGTCTACCAGCACTGTCAGGTTCTTCTCTGAAAGGCTGCTTTTTATCTCTTGTCACCCAGCCTGTATTCCTGCTTGGGATTGCCCCAGCCCAGGTGCAGGACCTTGCTCTTGGCCTTGCTGAACCTCATGAGTTTCACCCAGGCCCACCTCTTCAGCCTATTCAGGTCCCTCTGGATGACATCCCCATCCCTTCCCTCCAGTGTGCTGACCACACCACCCAGCTTGGTGTCATCGGCAAAGTCACAGAGGGTGCACTCAATTTCACCATACAGATTGCCAGCAAAGGTGTTAAATACATGTACTGCTGCTCCCAGTTCCAGCCCCTGAGGAATTCTGTCACTGGTTTCCACCTGGACATTGAGCTGTTGACCTCAACTCTCTGAGTGCAACCATCTGGATGGTCCCTCATCTGCTGACTGGTCCATCTGTCAAATCCGCATCTCTCCAGTTCAGAGACAAGGATATCATGGGGGACAGTGTCAAATGCTTCCTACAAGACCAGGTCGGCCACATCAGCTGCTCTTCCCATACCCGTGAATGCTGTAACCCCATCGCTGAAGGCCACCAGATTTTTCAGGCACGATCTGCCCTTAGTGAAGCCCTGTTGGCTGTCACCAGTCGCCTCCTTATTTTCCATGGACCTCAGCAGAGTTTCCAGGAGGATCTGCTCCATGACCTTGCTGGGCACAGAGGTGAGACTCACTGGCCTGTAGTTCCCTGGGTCTTCTTTTTCTCCCATTTAAAATGGGGATTGTGTTTCCCCTCTTCCAGTCCCTGGGAACTTCACCAGACTGCCCCAGCTTCTTAAATGTGATGGAGAGAGGCTTAGCAGCTACATCTGCCAGTTCCCTCAGGACTTGCAGATGGATCTCATCATGTCCTGTGGACCTGAGCACCTTCAGGTCCCATAGATGGTCTCAGACCTGATCTTTTCCTGCAGTGGGCAGTTCTTCATTCTCTCAGTCCCTGTCTTTGCCTTCTGCCCCTCTTGGCTTTGTGGCTAGAGCACTTGCCAATGAAGACTGAGGCAAAAAGTCACTGAGTACCGTCGGCCTGCTCTAGGTCCTGGGTAACCAAGTCTCCTATTTCGTTCCAGAGAGGACCCACAATTTCCCTTTATCAATCTTCCTTTTCATCAATCTTCCTTTGTCAGTGATGTACAAGTCTCGCTTGTTGCCCATGATGTCCATGGCCAGATTCAATTCCGTCTGGGCTTTAGCTTTCCTAACCTGATCCCTGGCTGCTCACACAGTGTGTCTGCATTCTTCCCGGATTACCTGTCCTTGCCGCCACTGTCTGCATGCTTTCTTTTTGTGCTTGAGTTTCTTCAGGAGCCCCTTGTTCATCCATGCAGGCCTCCTGCTGGTTTTGCCTGGCTTCCTCTTTCTTGGGGTGCATTGCTCCTGAGATGATCCTTGAATATCAACCAGCTTTCTTGGGCTCCTCTTGACTTCCAGGGCTTTGTCCCATGATATTCTACCAAGCAGATCCTTGAGGAGGCCAAAGTGTTCCCCCAAAGTCCAGGAGGCTTGCTGTGCTCCCTCTTTGCTGCCCTCTGAATACAAAACGCCCCCATTTCATGATCACTGCAACCAAGGCTGCCCTTAAGTTTCACGTTTCTTCCAGAATGATTTTGTTGTGTTTACAGTCCTTGGATTTTTCTGTGAATCAAATGTTTCCCAGCCCTTGGTTTCCTGAAGCATTGGCCGGTCAGTGGTGTGAGCCCAGGCTCGTAACTGTATGAGAGGCTGGGGGAGTGCGAGACCCAAGGTATTGGGAGGGGTTTCCGTCTCTAGACAGAACAATCACTGTTTCAGGGATGTAAAAGTTCACTTAGTTATTTTTCACTGGTGCGATGGTTTGGTTGAAACAACATCTAGTTGTCAGGGTAGCGTTTGGGGACACGAGTGACAATATGGATGTGAATATAGGACGTAAAGGCAGAGGGAAGGTGGCAGCTGAGTTGATTGCAGGTGCGTATCCTGTGCCACTGCGGGCTGTGGGAGGTGTTCAGGAAGCATATCTTTGGCACAAAGGCATGGAGTACAACCCTTTTTGTCTTTCTCAGGAGAACGTGGTGGAGAGAGTTGTTGGACTGAGTTAATATTGGTTCTACCCACTGTGCTTCTCAGCAGCACAAATAACTTGTGGAAACGCCTGTCTTTCAAACAGATATGAAGTCTGCAAGCCAAGTGAGGATGGCTCAGAGTATGTTACTCTCTCCGTTTACTTTCGGGAAAAGACAATGAGGCAATCCAGCAATACTTCAGGCACTGTTCTGTTCGGGCAGCCACTGCTGATATCCGTGCCGAAACACAAGCTCACAGTGGATCACTTGTACGTTGTAGTTCTGGAGCAGATCAGGTAAGCCACGTCTACGTCTATTCCTGTGCAGAATTCTAGGGTTTCCTTACTGAGTTAGGCTGCAATAAGATCACTGAATCCTTTTTAGTGGGAAATCTTTTCCTTGATCTGTTTGTGGAACACCAATCAGCACTTGGATTACAGAAGTGTCTGGAGGCCACGAGGGCATCTCAAGGTCCTGTAGAAGCAGGGGCTGTAAGATGATGATGCTGCTGGTGGTCCCAATGGAAGTCACCTGCTTGGTGTTGCAAAACAGATCAGGAGCACAACTTGGGAAACGTTTTGAGGGCTCTCCTGTATCTCCTTTGATGGGCCACCATAACTTGCTTTTATGCTACTTCTACTACCTGTAAAACTTGGTACAAGTGGTGAAAACATAAAATTATTGAATTTTTTGTTTGACTGAGAGCTCCCAGTGTGTGGATGCTGGTTTGCAGAGGGCAATTGGGTGGCAGGGACTGTTATTACTGGTGGTGGAGAGGGTGTAGTTGTTCTGAAGTACAGCTTTGTTATGACTGTGTGATAAAAATATGACCTCTGTTTAGTCGCTACGTGAAACTCCCCTTGGCAGAAGAATACTCGACGCCCTGCTCAGACAAAGGCACCTGCAATGGCTCCAGCGGTGTGGCTGAAGGTAAAGCCTTTCAAAATTGGTTGGAAGCTTTTCAGCTTAAAGCTTCTGTCAGCATTTAGGTTGTGCTGTGCGTAAGTGGCTTAAGCTCCAGCAGATAGATTTTTAGCTCTACACAAAGATTAATTTGCACTGTTGCATAGGACTTTGTCGTGGTGTAGTGAAGATTCCCGTAGACCATTTTCCTTCCTAGAGAGGTCAGATGTCAGCAAGCAACAGGTGGAGAAAAAAAGTGGTGTGTGTTTGTCCTGATCAGTGTTAGTGAAGTTCTTGGTGTTCTATTAGGTGTTCGGGTGCCTCCCTCTAGAGGAAAATCCTTTTTTAATGTGCCCTTTGTGATGAAAACTGGCCTGTTAGATCCTATGAAGGCAAGTTCTGGAGAAATGCAATGAAAACAGCATTTTGTATTCCTGGACCTAGAATCATGGGGTATTGTGCCTAGGTTAGATGTTCACAAGGAAGCTTTTAATGGTGATGAGAAGTACATGTTTCCCTTCCCTTTCTGAAAGGATTTGCTTGTGATGCTGAGAATAACAATCAGAACAAGTTATATCGGAAATTTAACTTGGGGAGAAAGCATGCCCATTTTTAACCAAGGAATGGCAACAGCTTCCCTGGCGTTATATTTTCCCTTCTGTGAAGACACCTAGTTGCAACCTTTGCTGGTTCTCTTTTGCGATATTTATTAGGGTGTGTTATCAGATGGTGTGATTTGATAACCTACTGTGCATTAAGCAGGTTTCATCATATCTGATGCTGGGATACAAACCCCAGTGTTTTAGCTGACATTTGCTAGAGGACAAAACACAGCTTCAGATGCAGTGATTGGAAGCACAGATTTCTTTGTGTGTGTTTTTCACTAAATTCTAAGCCAACTGTGCACAGGCTCCTGCAAACAGCTGTCAATGTGAGGTCTCAATCTAAACATTTAACCAAAACTCTTCAATATTTGGCTTGTTTTAAATTTTGCCAGGTGACATTGAAGAGATGGACCATCAGGATGGCGGACAGGAAGGCAAGGAAAAGTTGTCAGAAATTGAATGCCACTCTGATGGTTGCATGCAGGTTGAGTCAACAAGAGACCTGCAGCCTTGCAAGAAGCAGCATTTCACTTTTAGCCTCGTGAATTCTTATGGGACCTCTGAGATAAACTCCATTGTGGAAGGAAAAATCTTGAAACTGAATGGTAATTATTGACTTGGTATACTTTTTCTTCCTCCTTTCATGAACAAATTTGCAACAAATGTTTTTTGTATTTCTTGTAGCTTTTTCTACACTTGCTATTGACTGGGATTCTGATACGCGGAGGCTACTCTTTGATGAACAGGAGGCACAGGTTGTAGTATGCTCTTTTCATAAATATTGTGTGTATAAACTTTCATGGTACTTAAACAAATTATAGTAAGCACTGAAATGTAGGTGTGGTCCCCTGCATAAAAATTGAGTAAGCAGCATGTGATAAGCTTACTTAAAATCTTCTAGAGATAAGGCCTATAGATCTGTTTTTGCTGATATCTGCTGCCAGTGTTCCTAAAAGTATATACTTTATTTTTTTTTTCAAGTTTAGTTCATTATCCATTCAAATTAAAAAAATAAAAATAAAAAATACACTAAACCAAATGCATAGAGCTTCATAGAAACCACAGTGTTCTTTCTGTGGGTTCTGCTGAGTCATGCTTTGTAACAGAACAATCTGTTGTTGCTCCCTTGCCAAAACAAAAATAATTTAACTTTGAAGTAACAACATAAGTTTTGGTCTTATGAAGAGAGGCCCCCATTAGTTAAATGTGGTCTCACGCAAAGCAACTTTTCCATGTGTAGGCATTGTGCAGTGCTAGGCAGTAGCTAAGTCATATTTGGGCTCATGGGTATACCAAATTGGAGTATAAACTTTTGGGACAGGATTAAAGGAAATGGTGTTATTCCATTTAGATGCAATTTCAAGTATCACTGTCTTCATAGAAGGTAGGGGTGGAGAGCCAGGATTATATTTCAGACACTCTGCTTGTGTGTGCAAAACTGTTTATTGCAACTGTTATACGGCATACCTGAAATTAACACCTGGATGCAAATGCAAGTTGAAGTGCACTTCATCCAGAATGCTTGAGTTTTACCACCCTCTGGTATCGCCAGGAAAAAAATGCAGTTGCATTATCAGGGCGATACTTGTTTTTCTGTCAATTAAAACAGCAAAGATTTTGTTTAAACTTCTTGTTAAGAGGCTACACTTAAGCAGTCGAATGGCTTAGAGCAAGAGTTGGTTCACTTGGAAGTATGTATCAAACGCGATTATTTCTCTAGGATTTGATAGCTTCTTTGGCCCGGTATCATTTGGTTTCTGTCAATCACTTGAATACATTTAGCATATGTCATAATGATTTTAACATTTGTTGATTATTCTGGATGTCTTGCAGCATACTTGAGCTATGCCATATGTTTGCAGAGCTATCCGTCCTTTACTAGGGGTTTCATAATCTTGTCAGAGAACAAGTTTAATGGTCTGGTTGTCATAAGGCTGTGCAGACTGATATTTTATTTGCTTTTTGTTCTAGCTGTCACAAAGCTACCATAATCATTCCTTGTATCTGCTTTTGGGTGTTTCCAGTCCTTTTCATACCTTATAAACATTTTTGTACGGAGAAAGTGTTTAGTTCTGGTAAATGCCAGCCTTATTTCATTGCTGCTAAGGTGTGAGGAGTTCTAAATTTGTTGAGGAGTCTGGGAGGATCATACCCGAGGTGGAAAAAGTGAAAAGGACTGTTCAGAGCACAGGAAAGGAGTGGCTGGAAACTTGATTGTGTGGGTGGAGAAGAGGTCCAGAAATCATAAGCAGAGTGAAGGTGGCCATGTTTGTTTTCATGATGTCAAGGAGTAAAGCCTACATGGAAATGAATAAAGCATGCATTCTTTCACTAGGCATTCGAAAAGCATTCAAGTTTGTTACAACCACAGAAGAAGAAGGCTGTGGTAGCTCTCAGAGACTGCATAGAGCTCTTTACTACTATGGAAACACTCGGTGAACATGACCCTTGGTAAGACCATCTTTCTGCCTGTCACATTTACCATAAAATGCTGTAACTGCTTGATTTCACGTTATTTGTCACGGGATTCTGATAATTTCCTAGGTCTGTCTCTTTGTCTTGGTGTGAAGAAGTCTATTGTGTCTTTGTTCAGTCACTGACAGTAGGCTGCAAGCATGGGTTAATAACACATACGTGTTTCCTGCCTGTATTAAACAAAAAGACACTGGATACATAGAGATGAGGCTATTTTTCATTCTCCAACATACATCTATCTTCCAGATGCATCAGAGGAAGCAGTTGTGATATCAGTGTGTGTGGCTACTTCATGGCTAGCATGTGGCTGTTTTTTTACTTTGCTTTTCTATTTTCAGCTTGTACTTATCCTGAAACACTCCTAACTCTGTAAAAAATCCCCAGTTGAGGGGTTAGGTACAGCACTTAGGTCACCCTAAGGGACCAAAATGTGATTAATGTGCATACAGAACATCCTTGGAAGTTGTTTGCTGGGTGTGTAAGAAAACAACCTGTAGCGTAGTAGGTGCTTGTTTGTTACTAATTTCTGTTTACAGGTTATTAGATGTTTGTACCCGTTACCTGTTTGAGCTACATCAGGAAACAATAAAACAAACAATAAAACAGCAATGGAACCTTTAAACCTTTTATTTGTTTTCGAACAATGTTCAGTTAATGCACTTGCAATTGGACATTTTACCTACAAAGTGAAAGCAGTGTGTAGCTTTGACGCCTTCAGGGAGTAGTGTTCTCCTGCATATTGCACAAGCCAGAAATGTCTTCTCTAAGTCAGAGACTGAACTGCAGTACTGATGTATCCTCAAACAGACAGACAAGAAGATTTTTGTTTACCATAGCCTTTCATTTCCTTGTTTGTACTCTTTCCTCAGGTACTGCCCTAACTGTAAGAAACATCAGCAGGCCACAAAGAAGTTTGACTTGTGGTCTTTGCCCAAGATTTTGGTAGTTCATTTAAAACGCTTCTCATACAGCCGATACTGGAGGGATAAACTCGACACCGTTGTTGAATTCCCTATCAGGTAGGATTCTTCCTTCGAGCTAGTCTGCATGTGAAGAGTTGGTCAAGAGGAATCTACTTCTGCTGTTACTGTTGTGTGGGCTTGTTACTAATGGTGTAACTGGAACAGTTCTGTCTTAGGGTTTGGAAGCAGCAGGCCTAAGTGAAACTTGGGTAATAGTCAAAATGCAGGACACATCAGCAGTTTCCCGTTTCTGTTGCTCTGCTCCTGGGCAGATAGGGTGGGCAAGTGTGTTATGTTACATGGTAGACACACTCCTAGAAAGTCAGAATGTGAATCAGCTCTGCGTTACCTCTTTTTGGTTTTGTTAATCAGTTCCACACATCTCAGAGAACTACAGTTACTATCAGGTATTGGTTCTTTTGAAAAAAGATGAAAACTGGGGGATTGCTGTGAAACCGGACAGGTTGCTCAAAGCCCCAGCCTATATTTGTGCTTGGGATTGCCTCAGCCCTGATGCTGAGGCAATACTCCTTCCTACTTCCATCTCGCTTTTCATGCCTACACACGGATACACTCTGCACTGATTTTTATTCAGCACTTCCCTCTCGGTCTTTTGGCAGCACCTGATGAATTCACTAGGACCCTATGTGAGAGGGTTCCTGTTTCTGGTAACACGGGCACATCTACACTGGTAGCATCTGGCTGTTCAGCAGCAGAGCACAATCCTTAGCCAGTGCTGACTGCCAGCAGAGCTTCGCAGGTGTGTCAGGCATTAGTTTTCAGAAAATATGCCAGTAACCTGTACTGATACTGTTGGATTTTCTTCCAGGGGTTTAAACATGTCTGAGTTTGTCTGTGATCCAAGAAGAGGCTCGTATATCTATGACCTTATTGCAGTTTCCAATCACTATGGAGCCATGGGAGTAGGCCACTGTAAGTAACTGCTTTTCTGTACTTCATGTGTGCAAGGAAATAGAGGGACCATGGGAGGCTCTGTGCACTGGGGAGTTGCAGCAGCCCTCACCTAAGGATGTCTAGTCCAAAACTTACTCACGTTCTATAGGCGAGTGAGTATCTTACTGAAAGGAAGCTTCCTTCCTGTTAGGATTTGCTGAGCAGCCAGCTAGTTTGAGTAGTTTGCAGCTGCCTGGGTCTGAATCTTAACGACTGTAGGACCCTGGTTAGTAGTTGTTATGGAGTGTGCAAACTGTGTTTGCAGTTAATGAGGGGCATCGTTATTTTTAATGCTGGAACATGACGATGTTGTGGAAAGGAGCTTCCTACAGAAGAGTGTTGGTGTAGAGTCTTCAGCTTAAGCTGTCAGTTCGACTCCAAGTCTCAGCTTCTTGCCCTGCACCAAACTGCAGTGTAGCTGCTCGTCCAGCATGGGCACAGCATTACAGCTGCGGAGCAGAGGTTGTGAGCAGTTGAGCCAGCCAGGCAAGAGCTTGCCAGGTTCCCTCAGTGGTGTCACACGAGGTGTGACAAATAATTGCACGTAGGCCAAGGACACGGTTCAGAGAACAAACCTTGCCGTGAACCTGGGTCTGATGCCTTTCTGCAGTTGCTTTCCTGACTTGTTTGGTGCAACAGCGATTTAAAGCAGGTTTATATTTTTTCCCCCTTTCTTCCAGGCTTTTTTTAAAAACAAAAACACACAGACAAATGCATAGTGCTTCACAGAATTATAGAATCAGAGAACCATTAAGGTTGGGTGAAACCTCCAAGGTCCTTGATCATGGCCCTACCACCAATATCACCCACTAAACCATGTCCTTAAGCATCATATACGACCTTTCCTTAAACCTCCCCGGGCCATGTTGAACCTCATCCTGTCCGGGTCCCTCTGCAGGGCCTTCCCACCCTCTGGCAGATCAATGCTTCCCCCCAACCTGGTGTCACCTGCAAACTCACTGAGGGTGCACTCCATTCCCTCATCCAAATCATCAGGAAAGACATTAAAGAGGACCGGCCCCTGGGGAACACCCCTGGTGACCGGTCACCAGCTGGATTTCACTCTGTTCACCACCACTCTCTGGTCCTGGCCATGCAGCCAGTTTTTAACCCAGCACAGAGTGTACCTGTGCAAGCCATGGGCACTGTTTACGACTAGTGCTGAGTCCCATGCAGGACATAGCTCTAGCCTCACTAGATGACCTAGCGTGTTCTTGAAGCTGTGTTAGTGAATGAGGTGTGGGGCAGCTGCTGACAACGTTAGCTCTGGAACCGTCTCCCACGACTGGTTTGAGTCTTGAATGTCACTTGTGCAGTGCAGCTGAGTGGCACTACCTGAGTGGCATTCCTTCCTCTCAACAGACACCGCCTATGCCAAGAACAAAGTGAACGACAAGTGGTACTACTTTGATGACAGTAGCGTGTCCGCGGCTTCAGAAGACCAAATAGTGGTGAGTGCTTGGCCTGAGGCTAATCCGAGTTTGTACGGCAGGTGGTTCCTGCTTTGGGGGTTGTATTTCTAGCTAAGCTACATGGATTGCTTCAGTCTTTCAGATTCTTTTCTTCTCTGTTTGGTAGACAAAAGCTGCATATGTGCTGTTTTATCAGCGCCGAACCAGTGAAGAACATCTTGCTCCATCTCCTCCCCAAGAAGAGTGTGATGGCATGGATACCAACTAAGCGTCGCAATCGCCCCCGCCCAGCACTCGCCCACCGTGTTAGCGGTCACTCTTCTAAAGCTATGTCTGAGGCATCTGAAATTTTTTCTTCCTTCTGTAGGATTTGAGCAGAAAACGTAGCACTGAAAGATCCGGTGCTTGGGGTTGCAGAATAGCACTGGAGAGTCAGGAATAGGTGCTGACACTTGTATATTTAGAGGCCAAAAATAACATATATTGGAGCTTTGATAAAGTTCTTTTTAAAAATCTGTCTGAGCTGTGTGGCTGGAGGCAGGGGTCAGGGCTGAGCCGGGCTGAGAGCTGTAGCTGGGGTTGGGGAGAGGAGGAATTGGAGATCACAGCTGAATGTTGTGAGGCCCGTGGAGCAGTAGGTGATTCTGTGAATTGGTCCAGGGGCTTCCTGTAAATCCTCTGATGTTGCTGATGCCCCAGGCCCCCCCATCCCATGCCAGGGAGGCGCGTGCACCCTTTCTGGAAGCTCTCAGTTCAAATCTACATCCATCTGGCTTGCCTGTTGCCATCTCTGCCGTTGTACTTTGGTTCCCTTGCCAAGCATCAAGAGTTTCTCCTTCTTGCACCTTTTATCTGCTGATGCATTTCACAACTCTTCTGGGCAGTTTTGACTCAGCCTTGTAAATGTGAACACCGAATCCTGCCATGTGGGTAATTTTACTGCACCTGGCCCCATGGTTGGTGCATGCACAGTGGCTGCAGGATGCAGCTCTTAGAGCTCTGGCTCCTATTCTTCACTAGAGAAAATACCACCTGTAAGGCTGTCCACTTCTTGTCCTCTCAATCTGTCTCCTGTATCCCTCATGCCACCTTCAGGCCACTCTAAGGACTTTACTGCCTGTTGCCTTCAGGGGGCAGCGGCGACCTGGTTCAGGAACGGCACGGCGGCCAAGCCCAGGCCGCTCGGTCCGTCGGCTCCCAGACACCAATGTGGTGGATGGCAAATGGCGTTTATTGTCGAGTCCCATGGGGTTCTCTAGGCGAGGCCCAGAGCATCACTTCCGCTTGCTTACAGCACAGGCCACACGCTGCTGTCCATCAAGGGAGGGGCTCCACCTTTCCGTCCAGCGCCACATCTTCCGGCCGCCAGCCCCTAACGACCCACAACTGCCTCCAGCGTTTCCCCATGGTTTGTATGGTTGCAGCACTTTTATGTTTTGTTTTTAGTTCGTTGAAGTGTCTCCTTGGAGCTTTTACGCTGGTAAGGCTCAGCTCTGTGTCCCAAAGCTGTCGCCTGTAAGGATGCTAGCCCAGTGCAATGGATTGTGTGAGGTTTTGTCCTTTTCTCGTGACTTTTCTTCTGCACCGTTCTTCTGGTATTTGTCCTCTTCCCTTGAATGTCACCCACGCGAACATCTTCTGTGAGGCTGCAGGTGTAAAGGCCCTGGCCACGGTTCCCCTTTGCCATAGCTGCTCAGCTGTTCTGCTCCATCCTTCCGACACAACTGGCAAATGCTCTTCCTGCTCCACCTTTACCCAAACTGTCTGTTATTTGCAGGAATTGAGTCCGGCTTTGCTCTTGAATGAGGGCTCCGGGGACCGCTAGATTGGGTCAGTCCTCGATGGAGAAGTGGTCTTCCCATGAAAAATAGGAAAAATCTAGTTTGAATCTGTGGTTTTGAGGGTAAGTTCTAGCCCAAGGTGGCGAGCCACACAGGTGGGTTTTTCCTTCTCGGAGCCAGGTGCATTGGCAGAACCAAAGGCTAAGAAAGACTATTGCCTCACGAGGGCTTGTTTCCCTCCCCCCCAACAAAATGTGTTCCTGCAGTCACACTCTCCTCTCTGCACAGTTCTTGCGGCTTCACTGCTGGCCAGAACTGTCCTGTCAACATAACAGCAGCCATCGTTGAACTCCAGGCGCACCAGCTCAGCTCCTTTCCACTTCCCTCAGCAACAAGCCCCATCGGAAGTTGTCACGTGCCAGTCCCCAGACCTCTGTGCTGCAGCCCTGCCAAAGCACAGCTGGCTGCTTGCTGTCCTGTCCTGATGCAGGCAGTGGGATGGGAGGGCAGCACCTACGGCTCCCTGGCCAGGGCACGAGAAGGTCTTGGTGTAAGAGGAGGAGGGAGGACTGGGAGGCCTGTCTCTAGCTGGCACGTTAGTATTATGATCCTGTTCTGCAGAATTTTGCTTTTAAAGCATTGAAATTTGAGTTTATAGAGTTCCGAATTGTTTATTTGCTTCTGCTGTTCTGTTTTTTTGGGTTGTTTGGGATTTTTTAAACTCTTACTATTTTATTTCTGTTCTTTCCTCGTTACCGAGGGGAGCATCCAAAAATCAACTTTTAAGCTGTAGCACTGCACTGAATTACTCTGAGCAGCATTTTTGTTAGTTTTACCCTGAAAGAAAGTCACACGGGCATTCCAAAATGGGGGGGAGAGGAAAGGGGATGAAAAGACCTTTTTAAAGGAAAGATCTATCTGAAATAGCCTTTGTTCTCCTCTTTACTTCCTTTCCTGTGCTGACACTAAGAAATGTGTCAGTGGGGCTAAATCTGATGCTCAGATGCTGAACAGACTCTGTTGTACTGCAGAAAAAGTGGCCCAGCTCTTACCTTCTCTGACTCTGAGCCGATGGGCTTAGGCTGGTGTGTGTCTTCTGTAATACCAGACCTGTTTTTTAGACTAGCACTTTGTAAGTGGCTGGCTCTATTGTACAAAGAGGAAAATTAAAGAGTGGTTTGCACTGAAACTGTTTGGTTGTTTTTTTCAGCTTTCGTTAAGTGACCTGAAGTGCGGGTTGAACAGCTGCTGGTTTGTGGGGATGCCTGGTGGCGCAGGAGCTCTTTCAGCTGGGCCATGGCAAGTAGAGTGAGGCTGCACAGCCCACCCTGCTTTGCCAAGGGGATTCAGGAGAACAGCACACTGCTGTGTAAATCCGAGTCGGTGCTCAGAGGGTGCCTCTTCCCCTCTGCAGCACTGGGCCGCTCGTCTCTGGTGGCATAACGAAGCTCGTCCTGCCCTTTCTGTGATACTGGGCAGCCTCAGCTTCATCGTCATTCCTCTTCCTCTGCAGAACGAGGGTGCCCTGCCCTTATCACTGTTTTTTCCAGTAGCAGGTGGTGTCTTTTGGGCTTGTGGCTGCTGAAATGGTTGTCCTGCAGTCCTGCAGCCTCCTTTGGAGGCACGCTGAGCAAGTACTGGAAAAGGCTGAGGAAGGGAGTTAAATGCAACAGATTGGTATGTATTTAGCACTCTTTAGTGTAGGTGCATGTTCAGGGAGACTTGGGGGATTATCTGGGGGATCGAGGGTGATTGTGAGGACAAGAGCCCCAGTAAGAAGGTTTATATCTTCATGTGGTGCTGAGGAGCTGGATCTCAGCTGGAGCCTCAGAGAGGGTTAGAAGAACCCTGATGTAGAAGAGCAGATCTTGAGTTTCGCTGTGAAATGCTGACCATCAAAGCACGGTGTGAAGCTCCTTGTGACCATCTGTGACTGCAGAGGAACGCGAGGTTGTGTGTCTCTCTTCAGTGAAACAGGGCAGTGGGCGGTGTTTTGGGAAATGAGGGAGGGTGGAAAACCGGGAGAAAGGGAATACAGACTGATCAAATTCCTGTGCAATGGGGAGGTCGCCTGGAAGAAAAATGATCCAAAACCAGAAAGTGGAGGACAGGGTAAGTTTTATGCAATAGCAGAGGTCGGTGGCAAAACCCTGTACTGATCTGTGTTAAAACCCTGTACTGATCTGTGTATTTTTTCATTAAAGTAGGAACTGGGGAAGAAGAGAGAGCACACTGGCAGTTTTCTGACGTGGAGTTATTGGGGTATTCTGTATCAGTGCATGGGCTTGCAGGAATCTCATGCGAGAATGCCCCAGGCATGAAATGAGGCGAAATTCCCCATTACAAAATAAAGATTGGGGGTGGGGAGTGGGGAATGACCTGAAACACCAGTGCTGCCAGTGGAGCAGCAGTGTTCTGGAAAGAAATCTCTGAGGCAGAGAATGTCTCAGCGCTATGACTCTTAACAGGAGGGCAAATGATTTTGCTAAAAACGGCGAATTGGATGTGTCTCAGTCCTGGCTCAGCTCCTGTGTTGTTCATCCCAAATCAAAGGAGCCAAAATAAAAAGGGAAGAAACAACAGCCACAGTTACGGCAACTTCTGCTTAAGAAACACCTCCCCAGGTCAGTGCTCTTCACCCTGGGGACGGGACAGCTGAGGAGCTCCTGCAGTGCTCGATTCTGGCACTGAAATACATGAGCCAGGAACAGCTTCTCCTTGTTCGTCCCAGCTCAAAAAGGTGACAGGTAAGAGGCTTAAAACAAGATCAGTGTTTATTTTTCCACACCTAGCCCAGTAAATAACTGGACCAGGGACTATAGGGCACCCCCGTGTGCTCGTGCATCCTTCTGCTGGTGTGTCAGGCGTGAGGGTCTCTGCGGTCTGTGGGGCTGACTCAGTGGGAAGTTGTGAGGTGCTTATAAAGGTGCTTGGGAAAACAAGAAATAAATGGGAAAACAGCCTGTGTGTTTGCCACGTGTGCACAGAAGTGCCTCCTGTCTCTGCTCCCCAAAGCCCTCTGAGGAGCCGTTCTGCCCAGGAGCAAAAGAAGTGAAAGGGGAGCCAGAGGTTGCCTGTGTGACCACCACGAGTGTCCACCAGCACGCTGACCGGGGCAGAAGGGAGCTGATGGGACTCTGCAGCACTGGGGAGCTGTGGTGCAGGCTTGGATCGGAGGTGAAGGGGGGCTGTGCCAGGCTTTGCTGCGTGCAAGTGTGGAGGATCTTCTTGTGTGCTCAGGGAGAGAGGTAAGAGGGGTGGGCTGTAATCGCAGACTGGGTTCTCCTGCCTGGTGGGCAGCAGCAGTGGGGTCACTGCCACCACCTTGGTGTGATCACACAGGTGATGTTTTGCTTGGAGGCTGGTGTGTATGCTTTCCATTCTGAATTTGAAGTCCAAGCCTGTGCTTTTTTTCCGAGGCCAGCTGGATTCAGAGGTGCTTTGTAGGCTATTTAGCCCATTACAGCTAACATGTCTGCAAATGAACCTAATTAATTGACCAGTTTTCCTGTATCACACCTGGAAATCTTGGGGCAAAAGTGACTACTCCCACTTCTCTCACGCCGTCGAGTGGTGAGCTCAGCCATCAACAGGTGCTAGAAAAACCCCTGTGAGAGCCAGTAGTGGTAAAGGGGACGTCTCTTTTTGGTTCTACATTGTTGTACAGAACTCTCTTACCAAAAGAGAAGTAATGCTTAGCCTGCCAGTCACACAAGGTACAAATATCAGAGCCTTCTCTGTCACAATTACTGCTCATAAATTGTAGGTTAGCTCTTAATTGTCAGAGCAGTAATCTAGCAGATGTTGCTTAATTGCCCATTCTCTGCAGGAAAAATAACAAAAAGCCCTCTTTCAGAAAATTTCTTATTCATTCATTCGTTTTCTTATGAGAAAGCATCAAACCACAATTATTGCAAGAGGAAAAGAGGTATCCTCCTTATAAACAGGAAGGACAACCAACACTTCAAAAAACTGAAACTCAAGCTGCTACTGAAGATGTTAGAGAACCTCCACAGCAGTCAGGTGTGAGTTGTTAATGTGACATTGTCTTGTTCAAAAGACAACTGGCTACAAAGCTATTTAAACAGATACCTCCAGAAGTACAGGTACTAGTTTTTTTTTTTTTTTTCCAGTCTCAAATTTTCAATGCCGTAATTAATTTGGTTGTTTTTGTACTAGAATTAGAAATTTCCCTTTTTTCCTGTAGCATATGTAGCCCAGGAAGAGTAAAACAGCAGCTAGAAACCCACCCTGAGACCTTCTGGCTCTAATATATTATACTTGGGCCCGAGGCTCAAATCACAGAGTTAGGTAACCACAGTACTGAACGTGGTGTGTTTCTTTTATTCTCAGCTTTGCTAAAATACATTATACAGTTTTACGTAACGTTTTTTTTCAAATGCCTTTTACCAGAAGATCCAACAGCATATTCTCAAATTCAGAAGATGGAGGTCTGTAGTTCTTCCTTAAACATGCCTTCAAAATGGAGATCTTTTGCCATGAGCTCTTCTTCTACATCTTCTAAGGCCCACTGATGATCAGTCAATTCCAAAGCTTCCCATTCCGTCTTCATTGACATTAAACACAGGTAGAGAAAGAAAAGCCACTTAGTATAAAAGTAGTTATCAGCACTTTCTGTACACATTAGACAATAACTATGAAAAAGTGATTTTCTGCAAAGGCAGAAGATGGCATGTGAGTTTTTTTAAATCAGGAATGACTGCCTCATCAGCTATGACTGCCTAATCAGGTGTGCTTCAGGGTACTATAGCACTGTCAGGCTTCCACACACATTAGTTGTCACCTCTAATTTTAGGAACAGGAATCCAGAACACTTCCCTTGCTTGTCAGGGCGAGAGGAGGAGTTATGCACAGCCTGCAATCTTGTAAAGTCACAGCAAAGAGAGATGCAGGTGGAAATACCGTACCTTAAATGCTTTGTTAGTATCTGCTGGCATGGCCATTGCTGCACCTGTCATTTGTTCTTGCATCACCCTAGACTGATCTGCAGCTACAAAAAGAAATGAGAGGTTCATTCTTATTTGACTTAAACAGGACTGCTTGGAGTGTAGTGCCAACAGGCTGGCTTCTTCCTAAAGACTAAAAGGTTGCACAAATCCCCAGAATGCAACATTAACTGGTTAGTGCAGCTTTTCACAAGATATTTTGTCCCTATTCCTTACATCTTAGCTAAATTTACTTAAAATAGGCAGACAGAGGAAAATATGGTCTTCTACATTCTCCATAAGTGTCTTGCCTTGCATCTAACAAGAAACAATCATTGCAGCTTTCCTTAAAATCCATTCTTGCTAGAAACAAAAACACAACATCAAAGTTACCAAGCACCAATTTGATGAGAAGAAAAGCATGGGTTAATTACCATGGAAGTTCACAAGCAGTTAGCCAAGGGCTGGTGCAAAAAGAGCTGGGTAACTGCTGCAGGTGCTATCAAACCTAGCCAGTGCAGAGTAATCTCAAACAAGTGAGAGAGGCTTTGAAGAGCTTTTTGGTTGAAAACGTAGAAATCCTTCCCCAACCTCCCCCACAAGCCTTCCAGTGGAAGGAGAAGCCACCTCTTTCACAGAAATGATGCTGTCTTACCATTATCTTGGCCCAGGATGAGGGTATAAATGCTTCTGAGTCCAAACACATTCAGGAAGTACCAGGAAGCAGAGCTCACCCTGAGAAATCAGAAGCAGCATGTCTGATTGCAGTTCGATGCTGCCTGTGCATGGGACGTGTGGCTTGTGACCTTATTTCAGAGGCATGCACAGGCTGCTGAGGGGTTAGTACTGCACCCAGTGCTCCAAATAAACATTCAGCCTTGCTCGTGGAGGACACACGCTTACCAGGATGCATCTAAAGTGAGCAGCTCAATTCCCTGCTGTAACATTGGTTTAAAACGCAGCGTCAGAGGAAACGGAACCTTTGCTGCAGGACAAAAAAAAAAGCCCAGTTTTACCAAGCAACACTAGGTAACTGCACAGCAAACTGCAAAGCCAACAGATGTTTCATTCATTGGACCTAACGTAGTCTGAAGGTAATGCATACGATAACAAATAGTTTCAGAAAGGCTGTAATTCAAATACTGACTTTAATATGGAGTCTTTCAAAACATGATCAGGCAGCCAAACTACCCCAGCTGTTTCAGTGACTGTTAAGGGGAATATCTTTTCTGAAGGAAACAGC